TTTTTGGCCGGGGCTGGGTTTGAACCTGCCACCTCCAGTATATGGGGCCAGTGCCCCACTCCTTAGAGCCACAGGTGCCACCCCAGATGTCAGATTTTGGATGCTCAGTCTGTGTAAGCATTTTATATTGTAGGACTCAGCATGGTTAGTTTAATCTTGCCTTTGAAACTACCTTCTCTTTTTTTGTTTGATTGTTTCTTTTTAAGATTAAATTATGGACCAATCAGGTTTTTTTTTTTCTTTAATGAAAGTTTTGAAGCAGATCATGACAACAAGAAAGAAGTGGACAGAGTTGGCAGAGCATAGGGTCAGCAGGCGTTTGCGAAGAGGGCATTTCATTAGCCTGAGAGGTTCGCATGGGAGAAGCAGGATTGATGGATTAAACTGAAAGGACTGATTTTAACAAATGTTTTCCTGCAAATGCTTCAATTGTCAATTAGATAGGAACTTTTTGGATTTGATTTGACATTTCCACCACAGAAATATTTTTTCCCTCTCTGAGAGATACCATATTCAAAATAATATTGTACTGTTTTGAATTAGATATATTGACCAAGGAATAGAATTCAGTATTCAGAAATAATTCCTAACAGTTATGAGTAAGTGATTTTTGACAAAGGTACCAGGATCATGCAAGGAGAAAAGTCCACACTGTCTCCCAATAAATAGTGTTGGGATAACTATATATCCACATACAAAAGAACGCAGTTGGATGATTGCAACACCCCTTCCAGCAACTCATTAACTCAATGGATCATAAGGAAAAAACTAGGAAATCCTAGAAGAAAACACAGGAGTAAGTCTTCACACCCTTGAGTTAGGCAACAAATGGTCTCAGATGTGACACCAACAGCAAAACAACAACACTTAATCAAATAAATTGGACTCAATCAAATTTAAATGTGGTTATGCTTCAAAGGTCACCCACCATCAAGAAAATGAAAAGACAACCCACAGAATGGGATAGATTATGCTCTGCACTATACTGAACTGCCACGTGGTTTACGGCCTGCATTGTATTACTGTGGTACATTCACTGACTGTTTTCTTGTTAGGACAAGCCATTTTATCACTGGGATTAATCCCACTCAGTCATGGTGTATTACTGTTTCTTAATCAGCTGATAGAATTCTGTTTGAATCCTTTTATAGTATTCCGTTGGTCTACTGGGTTTTAGGTTGTATCCTGGTGAACAGTGAAGTTTCAGATATCCTTGGTGTGGGTTTTGTGGAGATCTCTGGGTGTGTCACTGTGTACAAAGGAGAAATTGGAGAGCAAGCACGTCACACAGCTGCGCTGGGTTCCCGTGCTAATGCTCTCTGGCTGCAGGGTGCCAGTGAAGACATCCAGGCTGCCTTACCAGGCAGCACACCCCAGCCTCACCGACCTCGGCATCACAGGCCCTGAAAATGCCAAGCCCTCCACAGTTCAGAGCTCTGGGCACCTTTAACACGACCCTGTTAGGAAGACACAGCCCAGTTTTCTAATTTGTTTTTCATCTGAGAGAAAGTAAAAATCCGTCTCTTCTGCATGCGGTCCTTCTACTGTTGCCGAGAGACAGGAAAATCTAAAATAATTCATCGAAGGTTAAGGGAGGGCAGAGGTAACAACTCATATGCTTGCACCAACTGGGAAGTATCCTGTCTTAGATAACATTTTGTTTGACACATAATATTGAAAACTTTCATATGATAGGGAAGGTAATAGAAGGAAGGTGAGGGGGGAAAACCCAGTGGCTCAAAGGAGAGGGAAAGTAAACACACTCTTTAAGCACCAGAAAGTTGTGAGACAATATGTAGGTATGTGCTCCTTTATTTAAAGTCATGGCTATTAGTTGCTTCCTAAAATTTAACGGATTGAATAACAACTTGAAGGATAAACCAATCACTTGGGTCAGATTTGAGTTCTTGATGTCTGCCTGGCAAAGTAAGGACTGTTCTTTTTCCTGGCATTCGTTACGTTGATCAGAAGGATCACCCATGGGTGTGTTAAAAGGAAAGATGTCCGGCCCTAAACTCCAGAAGTACTATTTCAGGTTTGGAATTTAGAATTATGTGTTTTTCTCAAGATTTATTTTGAATAAATAAATGTTTTTAAAAGAATATTCAGGCCAGCACCCATGACTCAAGGAGTAGGGTGCTGGCCCCATATGCTGGAGGTGGTGGGTTCAAACCCAGCCCCAGCCAAAAACTGCAAAAAAAAAAAAAGAATATTCAAATCTATTTCTGCTCCTATATTCAGCAATTGTTAAAACAGTACATTAAACAGTTTGCCATTATAGGTAGCTGGATAGATAGAAGGAGGGATAGATATATAGTTTGGTCCCTTTGACATAAGGTACTGCATAATTTGTTCTAATTACTTTCCATTGTGGTTCCTGAGTAGTTTACAGTCCCCAGACTTAACATAAAAGGAACAACAGACATTTTGTTCAAAGAAGGTTAACCTCAACATGATGTCAGATGTCTCTTTTTTATTGTGAAACATCGTACATCTAAATGTACGTATTGAAATATAAATGTGCCCTTTAAAGGCTGATGACAACACGTCCATCACACCTGTTCTCTTCACTCTGCTAGGATAGAGCATTGGTAGAAACTTAGGAGCTTCTTGTGGACCACGGCTAAACACTGTTCCTCTTGACTTCACCCTCATATATAACCATTTTCCTGAAGTCGGCGTTTTTAATTCACTAGCGTTTCTTTAATGTTTTTCTCCTTATATTTATCAAAGTGTTTGTTTTGATTTCTTGCTATTGAACTTTCTTAAATAGAATAAACTATACGTGTTCTCCAATGACTCATTTTTTTCTGTCCAGTTTTGAGTTTTATTCCTGTTGATATGTACACCTTTAGTTTATTTTCACTACAGATTCACAGCTATTACACCAAAAGTGTATACCAGCATTTATTTATACAATCTACTGTTGGTGGACATTGAATTTTTTTAATGTCAGTAGTGGTATCAAGAACATTCTTTTTTATATCCTGTGTACATGTGCAAGAGTCTTTTGTAGGTATATACCTAACAGCGTCTAGGACTCAGTGTTCTGGAAAGCTGTGGTTATTTTCCTCAACAACAGGCATTATTATCCTTGAGGAATAGGACTATTTCTTTGAACTCTTCTGCTGGCCCAAATGGGTTCCAGAATACTTTCCTCTCAAGACACATAGGAGATTGTACACCAGTCTTCAGCTCCTCAGGGGAGTGGAGCTGGTCCCATCTTGGGAAAACAGTTACTTCAGTCGCTCATGTCCTGGTGATCTTCCCTGAGTCCTCTCAGTCTCCATCCTGATGACTCACTCTATGGTGTTCTAATGCTTCTTTGACTTACTCTAATTCAGTGACTTTTCACCCGCGTGAATGACACCAATGACCACATTCCGTACTCTGATTAGGATGCATTGGAAAATACATGGGTGTTGGATTTAGGTCTACTTGCCTTTAGCAGGTTGGCCATTTCATATTGGAGAGATGTTATAATTAGAGATCATATGTGAGAAGTGTTGGATCCTTTGCTTCACACTGATATGCAGTGAGTAAATTATAATGTTTACCGATGTTATTGTCCTTGTGATTTGTCATTTGTCAGAAAATAGAAATTGGGATTTACTGAAATTCCCTTCTTGATAATAGGCTTCTCGGGGTAGGGGGAGATGATTTAATTGAGAATATTTTAACTTCATCCTCCTCATCATCATCAACTTCTAGTTTCCTTCTCTGAGTTATTCTCAAAATGTTCAAAGGCACACTTTTTTTAATTTACATGTATAATTTTATTCTTTTGGCCTCAAACACAGCATGCCCCAGTTTAAACTTCTCCTACCTTCCTCAGTACCTACCATTTCTGGGCCGTCCTCCTCTCTGCTTCCCTTGGAGGTACCACCATCAATTCAGTTACCCTGGGCCAAAACTGAGACCTGTCGTTGACTCACCTATTTTCATTTGTCCATCAGCAACTCCTGTAGGTTCTGCTTCCAAACACCAATGGCTCTGAGCACTTCTAACCCTCTCTGGTGTCGCCTCCCCCGTCTGAGCCCTACCAGCACTCACTGGATCACAGCTGTCCCCCGTACTGCTGCGTCTTTCTACTCTCCCTCTCCCTGTATGTAGGTCAGATCTGATCACTCCCTGACGGCAATCCTCAAGACAGGAATTACAAAACACACTGCATTTTATCTTGCTCTGGCCTTCAGACGTGTCCAGACCTTGGTGTTTATCTGTCACCTCAGTCCTCTTCATCCCCTGTGGACTGGTCACATCTAATCTCTTGTTCTTTCTTCCCAAACTCTTTGCCATCTCTGGACTTTTGCAGTTTCTTTCCTCTGTTTCTGAAACTTTCCTCATTATTTTTTTGTAAAGTTTCTATTTCATAGTCCAAATAGTTCTAAGGTCTCCTCCTGGGAGAGGCTAAACCTGAATCTCCTAGGGCTTCCTGTTTGTATTTTTCTTAAACCGTTTACTTTACTTCCTTCATAACTGCACTTTCTAAAATTAAATGTAACTTTACACTTAAATATTTGTTGGCATTTAAAAAAATCTTACCCCCTAAGACTATAAGCTGCAGCAGAGTATTCAGCAGAGCGTATGTCTGGTTTATGGCTGCCTTCTCAACATCCGTAATTGTGACTGATACATAATAGATCAGGGGTCCTCAGACTTTTTAAACAGGGGGCCAGTTCACTGTCCCTCAGCCCTCAGACCATTGGAGGACTGCACTACGGGCCCTGGGATGAGTTGGCTGCTAAGCAGGACAGGCAGTGGTGGCAAAAACACCTGGCGGGCCGGATAAATGTCCTAGGCAGGCCGCATGTGGCCCACGGGCCATAGTTTGAGGACACCTGTAATAGATGCTCAAATAAGCATTTATTGCATAATGAATGAATAAAAGGTAACTGGAGGCTACAAAAATTACAGAACTTGATTCATATATCATTGAGTAACAATAGTAACTATATAATATGTATATATTTTTAAGACATTAAATTGTTTTATTTTTCAGGATTAATTGGAATTCTTCAAAATGTCAGGTGAGTTATTGTGAATAAATTGGAATGTGATTTATTTTTAAATGTGAATTATATGACTATTTTCCCTAAAAGGGGGTCTTTATTTCACTTTGGAATTTTTAATTATTTAGCGTCAATATGTAACTATGTATGCATTTCTTTATTTATGCGTAGGAACATTCCTATCTCTCTTTATGTGAAAAGAATTTAAAAAGGGACTTATAATAGCACATATGTACTGACTGCCCTTTAACATATGTGGGGAAAATGAGGGAAAGGAAAAATACGGGGAGGAAAGCACGTCTGCAAAGAGAGGTCGTAGTAATTAGCAAAGAGCCTGCGGTGACATCCTGCCTTGGGAGAGGAGGGCTGAAGGCAGAGCCTCCAACTGATATAAAGAGAAGAACACCACCATATTTAGGAGATTTGTGTTTTCTATGAGATAAAGGTCAACTGGTTATTTAGGAAATTGAGAACTTTTCCCGTAGTGAGTCTAGAGAGAAATTTAATCTCAACAAAAGGGCAACGTGTAACATCATGGAAATGACTCCATCCCTGCCGTGCAGCAACTTCTGTAACCTAGGTTGCTCGTAGAACAAATTCAGTAAAAACGTGGGTCGTTGGCAAGGTGGTGTGAAGCGCCCCCAACTGAACTGTGTGCAGCACCTCTGCTTTCTACGGCACCTACGTGCTTTTGAGCTTATGTTTTGATTTATTTAGGCATCACTTTTTGAAAAGGATTGGAGGAAAAGTCAAATTCACTCTATCAACATGGGCCTGTTTTCTCGCATTATGTAATAGAAAGAAGACTTTTGATATTGTGTTAGGAATGAATTTACTAAGTAGTTAGAACTCAGCATCGGGTCAGCTGAACCACTAGTGTGACAGCTGTTTGCTTTGATCGCAAACACGGGAGAATTGCTTAATTTTATTTTTAATCCCCATGCAGTTTGAGAATTGATGGAATTAAGAGGTTGATATCTAATATAGGACATTATATACTTTTATAAGAAATATGTGCCTTCATATGTATTATATCCTTGAGGCATAGCAACAATGTATTACTGTGTTATGATTTCCTTGGTACGTAATGTCCACTCTCTTTCTCCCAAGGTGTAGTCCCCACGGCCCCTGAGCAGCCTGCAGCTGAAATGGAAAATCAAGTAAAATATCCAGATCCGAGGCCTGAAGCTCCTCCTGAATACAACTCTCATTTTGTAGCAGGTAAGTCAACTATTCGTAAGGGATCTTCCATCTAGCAAACCACACAGTCAGTTAAAGTTGCTTTTTCAAGTAATTAATTAATTGAGTCAAGAAATAAGTTTTGAATAATGAGGGGGTGCCAGACAGAACAGATTGCTGTCTTCACAGGATTCACAGGCTATTGGAAGGAAGTTTTCTAAACACTGAAGACATTCTTTATATCTTATGAGGAAAATTTGAAGACAATGTTATAAGGGAATGGAAAACAGTATCCGGCTTTTTCAGGAATTTGAGGAAAGCCAGGATTGAGGAAGTCAAGTTTTGCTGTCATAATAAGAATTTAACAATCAAGGAAAAGAGGGAGCTGTGCATAGAAGAAAGTGGTATATGTCCAGACGTGCTTGGTCAGGCCAGGCACGGAGCCTCATGCCTGTAATCCCAGCACTCTGCGAGGCTAAGTTCTCATGTATCGCCTGAGCTCAGGAGTTTGAGACCAGCCTGAGCAAGAGTGAGACCCGGTCTCTAACAAAGAGCTGGGTGTTGTGGCGGGTGCCTGTTGTCCCAGCTGCTTGGGAGGCTGAGGCAAGAGGCTCGCTTCAGCCTGGGAATTTGAGGTTACTGTGAGTTATGATGCCATGGCGCTGTATTGAGGGTGACAAAGTGAGACTCTGTCTCAAAAGAAAAAGTGCTGGTCTTGAAGGTTTTTATGAGGTATACTCGCAGCAAACGGCATGAGAAGTGTAGAGAAGTGGAGGGGAATAGTCTTGAGTGTGATTAAGGAGCTCATTCTGACACATGTTTTTATAAGGCTGAATACACTGCTCATGATAACTCAGGAGAACGAATACATACACACTGGTACTATAAATTTGAACAGATTTTTTTATAGTCTTTTTATAAAGCAATTTGGTAGTGTGTAAAATTAAAAATATATATATTTACCTTTGGCTAATGAAATAGTTTCAATCAGATTGTATTTGAGTATATAGTATGACTTAGAAAATGATAGATATAGTTTATTAATATTTCTCTAAATATATATTTAATTGAAGCCACTATGTGAGGCTCTGAAAGGACAATAAAGCCCCGGCATTTATAGTATGACAGAAGAGATGTCATTTTGACTTTTGAGCTGATAAAGCTCAGGTCACTGTAAAACAGCAGGACTTACTGTCCGTGTTTTCCTAACATGTTTGCGTTATATAGATAAGGTCCATTATAACCTATCATGTGCTCAGCCTCTCCTAAATCCAGCATATCGAAAATCTTAAATTATAATCATGTTTTATCTGAAGACTTCTCTATATTTACTTCAGTAACTTTCAATACAATGTACATGGTCTATCTTACATCAGCCACTCAACATCCAAGAACCTGGATTCTACTGGAACAGAACCTCTACTGTTTCTAAAGAGCAAATACTGGTTATAAATCATATTCTGCTCATGTGGCATATATATGCCTACTATACTCTATATTTACAGAAAGATTATTAATAAGTAAAAGATATTCTTCAAGTTCAATGACTAAGTAGAATAATCAGGCAGACATCTAATCAACTGTTACAGTATAGTTGGAAACTCACCATGATTGCCACCTAGTGGCCGGACTCTATATCTACTTACGATGAATGATAGAAATTGTGTGCCTGTGATTCACATTAAGAAACTAGAAATGTTGTAGTTGAAGTATCTGTCATAATAAATTTATTTAAATTAAATTACATAAATTTCGTGTATATTATAGTACTGTACTGTATATGTGTTCCTACGAAAAATAATTGTTTCCTTTAGTCTTTAAAAGAAGAGTTAAAAAGTAACCTTTGTTACCTGTATATTCTATCTAAAGAGAAAATGGCATGGCTTTTTCTAAATTAAAAAAAAGATAAAATTCAAAATAACTAGGAAAACTCACACCCTATAAGGCAGTGGTTCAGTATCTGCCTTACATGGCAGTGTCAGCGAGACAATGCTCCTTGGCAGTTGAATAATTATATTTGAATAACATAAGATACAATCATTACACAGTGTTGTTTGTTTTGTTTTGAATCAATCATAATCCTTAATGACAATTGCAGGGCTCAGAGGGAGTATAATATGCCAGTTTACCCACATTTTTTGGTCATATTTTTTCTTCACAATGATAACACATGCCTATAATAAAAATCATTCAATTACAAAAATTTATACATGATTTTTTCTTATAAATGATGCCTTTATACTGAATAGCCCTAAGATGTAAATTGTCATTTTCTTTCTGATTTATTTACTCTTACATTTGTTATTAAAATTGAATGAGAAGTTAATCATTAACTCATTATTGTGATATAATGATAAGCATTCTAAGAAAGTTTATATGACTATTAATTGCATTGTTGTTTTTACTAATGGTTAAAAAGTAGGGTATTGGATTTTTTGTCCAATTTGGTACTCTTAAATCTAATTCTTAAAGGAATTAAAGGACATTCTTCATGACAAAATTAAAACAGCATTTGTAGTAACCTGGATGGAGGTGGAACACATTATTCTTAGTGAAGCATCACAGGAAAGGAGAAGAAAGATCCTATGTATTCAACTTTGATATAAAGATAATTAATGACACAGTGGGGCATGGGAGAAGGGGATACCATACTTTTTCTCCTTTCTTTGTAAAGACATCATACTTTTTCTCTCACATGGCTGTAATTTCACATGGTTTCCAGTTACCATTATTTTTTCTTTGGTCTCTCCTTACTCTCCTTCTCTGTCAATAACTCTGTGTCCTGTACCCTGATAAAGCTGCTATTCTCAGAGTCCTTGGTCCACTCCCCTGTCCTTCCCCCACTCGCCTCTTCCATTTACCCCTCCTTTTACAACCTCTCCTACATTATCTTGGTAACACCAGTGTCTTTATTTGCTTTTAGTTACTGATGCGCACCACATCCCCATCCCATATTATTCTGCTGTGCTCTCAACTTGCAATTCCAGTGATCTATAGACTGCTTCCCCTGGATAACCACTATAAAAATAAAACCTAAGGAATACACACACACAGTCACAAACAGAACATTAATCAACAGGTGAGTTTAGTGGTGTGGTAGGATACACAGTCAATATACAGAAATCCAATTTTATTGCTATGCAATAGCAGTAAACAATCTAAAAAAGAAACCTAAAGTACAATTGCACATACAATGACAACAAAAATGATAAAATACTCAATTATTATTCAACTTAATAGTGGAACTATAAGACTTATATATTACCAAACATTGTTGAAGGAAATTAGTGAAGACTTAGATCAATGGAAAGTATTTCATAGATTTGAAAAGCCAATAGTGTTAAATGGTGATTCTATCTCAGCAGCATAGGGAGTCTCATATCTACTGCTGGCAATTCCTTGGGTTTTAAATATGTGATTGTACATTCAGACTTACCACTGCTTATACTGAGACCTTGATAAAATGGAAGTCCTAAAGTCAAGCATACTTGTGTGCAAATTCATTACTGTGAATACTCTTCTTAAATATTATAAAACATTGTATAATTTTTAAAAATAATCCAGATACCCTGACTCATTTATAACTCATCAGATCTCTAGAAGCAGAGTGAGGGGAAATGGTGAAGGGTTATGTGCCAAGGTTGGAATGTTTATATCCCCCCCCCCCAAGATTCATATATTGAAGACCTAATTCAATTTGGAGGTGGTTCTTTTCAGAAGTAATTAGATTAAGAATGGAGCTCTTAGGATGAATTAGAACACTTGTAAGTGGAGACATGAGAGCGATAACCTGTCTGTCCACTGAGTGAGGACACAGCAAGAAGGTGGCTATTTTCTTTTCTTT